AAATATGGTGGTGACAACTAAACTGGAAAGAACCAAAACAGAGAAAGAAAATGATAGACCAATTTTCCTACTGAATACAGATGCAAAAATGTTAAACAAAATATTAGCAAAGAGATTATAGCAACTTATCATGAGGATAATATACTATGACCAAGTAGGATTTATACCAGGAATGCAGGACTGGTTCAATATTTGGAAAACTATTAGCATAATTAACCATATCAACAATAAAACTAACAGAAATCTTATGATTATCTCAATAGGTGCAAAAAACGCCTTCACAAAATATAACACCCATTCCTATTAAAAACACTAGAGAGCATAGGAATAAATGGAGTCTTCCTTAAAATGATAAGTAGCATCTATCTAAAACCATCAGCAAGCATTATATGTAATGAAGATAAGCTAGAAGCATTTCTAATAAGATCAGGGGTAAACCAAAGATGCCCATTATCACCACTGTTATTCAATATTATACTAGAAATGTTAGCTTTATCAGTAAAAGAAGAAAAAGAAATTGAAGGAATTAGAATAGAAAATGAAAAAACAAAGCTATCACTCTTTGTAGATGATATGATGGTATACTTATAGAATCCTAGAGAATCAAGTAAAAAACTACTTGGAATAATAAACAACTTTAGCAATGTTGCAGTATATAAAATAAACCCATATAAATCACTGGCATTTCTATATATTACTAATGAAGCCCAACAGCAAGAGATAGAAAGAAAAATTCCATTTAAAGTTACTGTAGACAATATAAAATATTCGGGTCTACCTGCAAAGACAAACCCAGGAATTATATGAACACAATTACAAAACATTTTTCACACAAATAAAGTCAGATCTAAATAACTAGAAAAATATCAGTTGCTCATGGGGAGGCCAAGCTAAGATAATAAGAATGGCAATTCTACCTAAATTAATTTACTTATTCAATGCCATACCAATCAAAGTACCAAATATTATTTTATAGAGCTAGAAAAATAATAACAAAATTCATCTGGAAGAACAAAAGGTCCAGAATATAAAAGGAATTGATGAAAAGAAATGCAAGGGAAGGTGGCCTAGCTGTACCAGATCTAAAACTGTATTATAATGTAGCAATCATCAAATCTACTTGGTACCTGCTAAGAAATAGAGTGGTGGATCAGTGGAATAGGTTAGGTATACAAGACACGGCAGTCAATGAATATAGTAATCTAGTAGTAAATCTACTGTTTGATAAACCTAAAGACTCCAGCTTCTGTAATAAGAACTCACTATTTAACAAAAACTGCTGGGAAAACTGGAAAATAGTATGGCAGAAACTAGGCACACACCAACATCTTATACCCTAACAAGATAAAGTCAAAATAGGTACATGATTCAGATATAAAGGTTGATACTACAAGCAAATTAGGAAAGCAAGGAATAGTTAGCCTGTCGGATTTATGCAGAAAGGAAGAATTTATGACCAAACAAGAAATAGAGAATATTATGAAATGAAAAACTGATAATTTTGATTATATTAAATTGAGAAGTTTTTTTTGCAAAAAGCCAATGTAACCAAGATTAGCAGGGAAGCAGAAAGTTGGGAAAGAATTTTTACAGCCAGTGTCTTTGATAAAGGTTTCATTTCTAAAATATATAGAGAACTGAGTCAAATTTATAAGAATACAAGTCATTCCCCAATTGATAAATGGTCAAAGGATATGAATAGGCAGTTTTCAGAGGAAGAAATTAAAGCTATCTATAGTCATATGAAAAAATGCTCTAAATCACTACTGATTAGAGAAATGCAAATCAAAACAACTCTGAAGTACCACATCACACCTATCAGATTGGCTAACATGACAAAACAGGAATATGATAAATGTTGGAGAAGATGTGGGAAAACTGGAACATTAATGCATTGTTGGTGGAGTTGTGAACTGATCCAACCATTTTGGAGAGCAATTGGGAACTATGGCCAAAGGGCTATAAAACTGTGTGTACACTTTGACCCAGTTACTTCTAGGTCTGTATTCCAAAGAGATCATAAAATTGGGAAAAGGACCCACACGTACAAAAATATTTGTAGCAGCTCTTTTTGTGGGGGCCAGGAACTGGAAATTGAGTGGATGCCCATCAACTGGGGAATGGCTGAACAAGTTGTGATATATGAATGTACTGGAATACTATTGCTACATAAGAAATGATGAGCAGTCAGATTTCAGAAAAACCTGGAAAGACTTACACAAACTGATGCTGAGTGAAGTGAGCACAACCAGGAGAACATTGTATACAGTAACAGTCACATTGTGTGATGACTAATTTTGATAGACTTGCCTCCTCTTAGCAATGCAAGGATCTGAGACAACTCCAAAAGACTCATGATTGCTATCCACATCCAGAAAAAGAACTATGGAGTCTGAATGCAGATTGAAGCATATTATTGGCTCTCTCTCTCTTTTTTTTTTAGTTTCTTCTTTTATTTGGTTCCTTCTATTGGTTCTAATTCTTCTTTACAATATGACTAATGTGAAAATATGTTTAATATGAATGTATATGTAGTGCCTATATCAGATTGTTCACCATCTTGGGGTCTGGGGAAGGACATGAAGGGACAGAAAATCTGGAACTCAAAATCCTATGGAAGTGAATGCTGAAAACTAAAAATAAATAAATTAATATTTTAAAAAAAGAACAATGAATATGAAGAATTCAAAGAAGCATGGAAGATGTATATAAAATAAGGCAGAGTGAAACAATCAAAACTAGATAAACAATAGAGACAATGATTACAACAACATAAAAGGAAAGAATAAAGAAATGTAATTACTAATTACAATTACGTTTACAATTATATATTGAAGTATGTAATTCTAATCACCAAATTCGGCCTTAGAGAAAAGATGGGAAAACGTAACTTCTTTCTCTTTTCTGTGTATTAGGGGACTGTCAGTATAGAATATTATATATATGGTCAGACTTAGTTGATATGTTGATTAGTTTTTGTTTGTTTGTTTGTTTGATTAGGCAATGGGGTTAAGTGACTTGCCCAGGGTCACACAGCTGGTAAGTGTTATGTGTCTGAGGCCGCATTTGAACTCAGGTCCTCCTGAATCCAGGGCCAGTCCTCTATCCACTGTGCCACCTAGCTGCCCCCTGATTAGTTTTTCTTAAGTGCTTTTTCTCTTTCATTTTTGGTAGAAGGGCTGGCTCACTAGGTTGGGGAAACAGGGAGGGATATATTTGGAAATGAAGTTGATATAAAAAAGAAAACAATTTCATTCGATAGTTACAATAAAATTTATGGTTGGAAATTTAGTGGTATGGATAATTATAGCAAGAGATCCAATTCAATTTTCAGATAATAAATGTAAACTCTGTGCTCAAACCTCTCCATGTATCAATCAAAGAAGAAACTTTAAATTCTGGCACTCAAATTCTAACCAGGGTCACGTGGCACAAAAGATGAGACTATAGGAAAAGGAAAAAATCCTTATGTTTATAAACTACTTGTAAGGTAAATGCTGAGGCTACATACAGCAAGTATCTATACAAAGGAAGATCTCACTAGGAAAACAATATATACAAAAGACTACCACAAGGTAAGCAGAAACAAGAAACCAGAACAACAGAATGAAATGAATGTGGGAGAATTATAATAACAAAGCTTGGCCCTAGAGAACACGACCCTCATTTCACTGGAGAGGGGGACCATGAGTATAGACTGCTGTGTATGCTGTCAAATTAGTTTGTTGAACTCTTTAATTTCCATTGTAAGGGAAAGCTCACAGGAGAGGGGGAAGGAAAAGGGCGGGAGTATATTCAGAAATGGATGGCTCGCAGTTTCTCCAATACAGCCCAACATTATGCCTCCCATAGTCATGCCTTTTCATCATCTGTTTCTCATTTTTGGAATGCTCCTTCCCCTCACCTCTGCCTCATAGTTTCACTGGCTTACTTTAAGACTCAGTTCAGATGTCATCATCAGTAGGCAGCCTTTCCCAATTCCCTTAGCTACTAACGCCTTTCTCTCAGAAATCACCTTCCATATACTATTGTCCTGTAAGAAATGATAGACAGGCTGATTTCAGAAAAACCTGGAAAAATTTACACGAATTGATGCAAAGCGAAATGAGCAGCACCAGGAGAACACTGTACACAGAAACAGCAATATTGTAAAATGATTAACTGTGAATGACTTAGCTATTCTCAGTAATACAATAATCTAAGACAATTCCAAGGACTATCTACCTCCTTGATGGAGTCTTAATGCAGATTGAAGCATACTATTTTTCAGTTTTTGTGTGTGGGGTTTCTTTTTTGTCTGTATTTTCTTTCACAAAATGACTACTATGGAAATATATTTTGTATGATTGCATATATATAACCTATATCAATTGCTTATTGTCTCTGGGAGGAGGGAGGGGAGAGATGGAGGGAGAGGATATGGCACTCAAGATTTTAAAAATGAATGTTAAAAAATTGTTTTTACATGTAATTGGGAAAAAATAAAATATTATTTTTAAAAAAGAAATTACCTTCCATTTGTTCTGTATATGTATCTATATGTATGTAGTTATTTACATGCTCACTCCTCCTTTAGATTGTAAGTTTCTTAAGGTCAGGAACAATTTCTTGCCTTTCTTTGTATTGCCCAGCCCTTAGCACAGTGTCTAACATATATTAAGTGTTTAACAAACACTTGGTGACTAACAGATGAATGAATGTAAAGACCAAAAAAGAAAAAAAGGAAAAAATAAAGAAATCATAGAAAACTAAATCAGAAGACCCATTAATCTAAAAATTTAAAATACTTTTAATTTGTCATAAACATATTTCCAATGGTTAAGATACATATAAGCTTGAGGAAACATGTTTTTTATATAAACTTTGTAGCTCCCCAGCAGTGCCTAGTACAGAAAAGGTCCCTGAATTGATGCATATTGTCTTACATGGAACCAATGAATAGAAAATACAAACATTAATAGAAGACGTTAAAAGGGGAGGTTCTGAAAAATTAGCCTTACCTGTCTCTTTGATAAGTTCCAAGCATCCTTAAGGTGTACAGGTAATGAAACAATGTCCTAGGTCACCCCTAGAAAGCTTTCCAGAACTGACACTAATCAGTCTGAAACATTAAATTAAATGAAGAATGAAAAAGAACAAGGCAATTAAATCTTTGAACCTTTTTAAACACTGGCATGGAGTTTCCCTGAGTTACCAATACATGTTCTAAAGATATAACAGCTTTAAAATGAAGTGACTCAAAAAGTCAAACACACCCATCCACATCCTTTTTGGGAGCAATAGTATTTGTCACCAGTTCCGTGTTAATGGTCTTTTTTTGCATCTAAAGTAACTGGACCAGGAGTTCATGTACAATAGGGTCTTCATTCAAAGACGCGATGCACTTTAAAACCTTAAAACAAATTTTAAAAATTAAAGAAGACAGAGGGTAGGAATGGAAACCAGTATAAGACAAAACAAATCCAATCTGATTTCCCCTCTAAGAGTTTTAGTTCAGAGAGTTCAAAGAAAAAATCCAGTATCATATACGTGCTGCATATAACTTTCCTGTTGGACCAAAACACCTCCCAATAATATCTCCAGATACTAGAGAGGTATGTTGAGGTAGTAGTTAAGGAAAGGTTTGTAGACGGTGGGTGGGAAAGATGGCATGGGAACCTCTGGGGATAAATGGTCTAGATCTGTGATTTCATTGTTGTAAGGCATTCTCAGTGAAGAAGCTCCTACCAATGCAGATAGTTAGATAGAAGACTGCAACTTCTGCACTTTATAGTTCTAGAGAGATGTCTGGGACACTGAGAAGTTAAGTAACTTGACCAAGGGCACATAGTTAATGCGTCAGAGGTAACACTTGAACCCAGGTCTTCCTGACACTGAGGCTGGTTCTCTAATCAATACACTGCTTTGCTTCTTGGCCTTCCTTCTTACTTAGCCATTTACGGCCCTGTTATGAGCTTTATTTTTTATTTCTTATTAATAGAATGCTTTTGTTCATGAGTCAACTGAATAAGCATTTACTAAGTGCCTACTATCAAGCAATCAACAAGCATTTATTAAGAATCTACTAAAAGAAAATTTGTAAAGGCAAAAATGAAATCGTTTCTGCCCTGAGAGTTTTCTTTCTATAGGAGGAGACAACAAATATACATATAAATACATAAAACAGATACAAGGTAATATTTTTGGGAGGGGGAGGGGTTATTAGCAGCCAGGATGATCAGAAAAGGCCTCATGTAGGGAATGGCATCTGGGCTGAGCTTTAAAGGGAACTAGGGATTCAAAAGGTAGAGGTAAGGCGAGGAGGAAATGGACTCAAGGCATGAGGGTCCATCTGTGCAAAGGTACGGAGATGGGACAGAATGTCATGGATGAGGAACAGGACAGGCCGGTCTGGCTGGAATGGAGACTAGATGAAGGCAGGAATATCAAACCAGTCTGGAAAAGCTAGCTAAGGTCTGATTATAAAGGGCTTTAAATTCCAAACAGAAGAGTTTGTATTTTATTCTAGAGGCAAGAGAAGTTTGTTGTGTAGGGGAGTGACCTGTATTTTAGGAAGGTAATTTTGGCACTTGTGTTGGGGATGAATGAGAGAGGGGAAAAAGAAGAGAAGCTGAGACAGCAATTAGGAAGACATTCCATACTCCAAGTATGAGGGTCTGAATACAGATTTACCCCTTGAGGGTAAAGGAAAGGACATTTATGAGAAACAAAGTATTCAATATAGATGTTAAACTTTTTATATAACTTCATAGGTAGCACCTCTTATGTAGAACTAGATTCTTTGTACCTTTTCTTATGTACTTGAGTTATTTTATGTGATAACTGTATCTGTCATAAGCACCTACTAGACTATATGCTCTATGAGGGCAGGGATCAGGTATTTATTCTTTGTATCTCCCTCAGTTCCTAGCACAATGCTCTAAACATAGCAGACACTTAATAGATGTGTGTTTAATGCTGAATCGCCTGCATCACAGGACCCTTCCCTTGAAGTAAGGCAGCCTTGAATATGGGAATATGGGGCAGAGTATGTACCCATCACACACACACATACACACACACACACACTCCTTAGCCCTGAAAATGTCAATAAATCATAATCATGATATGGAACCATAAGAAGGTTTGTTCCACATGAACCCAAAATCTTACCTTTGCCTCAGTTGAGGTTCTTGGTAGTTTAATATGTTTGGCTCTGATTCCAATCTGTAAGAATGAGAATGTAAAACACGTTTAGTGATCTAACTAGCTAGAAGAAGTGGGAGGACTAAGAGATAGAGGTGTTTCTTAGGTGATGATGACTAAATACAGATTAAAAGGTTATTATTTGTCATTAAATTCCTATGTCCTAAAGGAACTTGTAGCTTTCCAGTGATTTTGAAAGTGATGGACTGATCCTTGGGAGTCCCTGGCCCTTTCAAGCAGTACACAAAGTCAGAACTATTTCCATAATAATACTAATACTTTTAATTCCTAATATAGTCAACAATGACAGGATATAGTCCATAAGCTCTTCAGGTGGGGTCCTCAATAATTTTTAAGAGTGTAAAAAGGTTGCGAGCCCAAAAAGTTTGAAACCACTGCCATACAATTACCCATTTATTTATTTCCTCACAATATTTCAGATTTATTGTGTTCCTTTAATTTTTCTGTTCTAGCTTTCTGTTTAAGAAGCAAAGCAAGTAAATAAAAGACAGAGGCTCTAGTTAGAAGCCACTTATTTATAATTTGCAATACAAGTCAAATTAAGATAAAGGCATGAGAATTTTAATTGGGGGAAAAGGGAGAGAAGTGGTGATGGGATCATTGTGTACCAGTGTAGATTTTACCTCCTCAGCAGCTTTTAGCTTCACATTTACATAAAGATTTGAATCAGCTCTATCTCCAACCTAGATCAAATAAACACAAAGTTATTTAATGAGGTATAATACATAGACGAACCATTAAAATTGACTTTGCTAGAGTAGTGTTTTTTATTGAAACAAATCTTATTACAGCTAACTTTGGGAAATGTATCTAATGCATCTAGAAGACTTTAACACAGGAATACACAACCTTTGGAAATCATTAATTAGATACAGTTTATGGTCAGGTGTCCTGCTTTATCTTTTAAATCTGTGTAAACAAAGACAACAAGCAACAAACATAAACAGGGAGCTAACATTCCCTCCTCCCTTCTCACATTTAAGGCTGAGAAAACTAGAAGGTTTGCTTGCATTGCTTCTAGAGCAGTCTTAAGAGATCTGTTAGCCTCTAACTTGTTCCAAAGACAAAGAATTGTGCAGCTCTTGTTGGCAACAAACATTTTCAGGAGCGTGAAACAGTTTCTTTAGTATCTCATAATATGAAATCAATTTTAAACAGGAAGACTTATACATAGAGTAAACAAAACCAGGAAAATAATATAAATAATGATTTCAATAATGTAAATGTAAAGATTTGCACTGCAACTTATCTGAGTTCAGCTGCCTCTTAGGTTTTTTTTTTTTAAATTTATATTAATTACAGTTGTCATTGTGGTCAAACTCCCTGCCTACAAGACTTCAGCAGGAACCAGATTAAAATGTAATTAGAAAATATTCAACAAAATAAATAAAAACACAATAGAACATAGGTAATGTTAATTTGTGGTTTTCTAAATCAATATGTGGCTCCCAGGGATTCATTTCTACCACTGGTTTGCCTGGTTCTGCATCTGTTCATAGAAATTTTCCTGTGTTTCTCTGAATCCCTCATATTCATCCTTTCTCACATGAACAAAAGTGTTCCAGCACACTCTCCTCTATGCCCTGTACAACTGAGCTACTCTGGCCTTCTTTGTCTTCCTCAAAAATAACAGGTCATCTCCAGACTCCTCACCTTTTCACATGCAATCTCCCATGCTTGGATTTCTCTCTTTCCTCACTGGATTCCTCTAAGACTCAAGTTCAGATCCTACATTCTGTAAGAGGCTTTTCCTAGTCCTCCCCATTGCGAGTTCTTTCCCTCTAGAAATTAACTTTCATATCTTGTACACAAAATCTTTTTGCATGTTTTCTACACTAAAATGTAAGCTCTTTTAAGGCAGGGGCTATCTTTTTCCTCCCTTTCTTTCTCTCTTTCTCTTTTTTTTGGTATCCCTAGAACTTAGTACAGGTCAACTGACATTCACCTATACCACAATTTATTCAGCCATTCTCCATTTTAGGGGAAACCCATTTTGTTTCTAGTTTTTTGCTATCGCAAAAATGAATTACTACCATGCGCAAGACCAAATTTCTCAGTGTCCCAGGAAACTCTAACCTGTATTGGTAGAGAGAATTCCTCACCAAGAGTTTCCTATACCAATAGAATCCCAGGCCCAGCTATAAAAAAGAATTGCTATTTTAAAATTCATGTGCCATGAGTCATCAGTAAAGAACCTGAGCAACTGCCTGTATAATGGACAACAAATATTAAGAATGGGGTCATGGGAGTTCTGATTGGATTGTGTTGATTTTTATAGGAAAAAGACAAGGAATACAATCTGACTGAAATACACAAAATCAATATGCCCAAGACAATTTCTATAGAAATCTGGCTCCCTTATTCAGATTCCAAGGAAAAACATGCTACTCTAAAAATGGGCATTATCATTGTCATTGTGTATTTTGTTCTCTTGGGCAAAAAATGATTCAAAATTAGATCTTTTTTCTCTCTGGTTTGTTTTCACAAACTTTTTCATTTTACATTATTAAATATTAGATCCTGTAAATAAAAACAGCAAAGACTGTCTTCATATTCAGGGTTGACCTACTAGATTAACCCTATTTGGTACAGCCTCCTTAGTTGCTACTATTCTCATATAATAAAGTAGTGGTATAATAGGAAAAAAAACACATTGAATTTGTAGTCAGAGTACCTGGGTTGAAGTTCTAGCAAAGCTGCTTATTAATTGTATGGCCTTGAGTATCTAGATCAGATTAGATAATCTCTGAGGTTCTTTTCAGCTCTAAACTACTTACGCTTAGCTCTGAGTTTCATTTTTCTCATCAGAAACATGGGAACAATTTGTATAACCATGGATCAGGAGGGTGCTGGGCGGTTCAGATGACAGGAACAGAAAGTGTTTTATAATCTTGAAACATATTATCTAAATGTGAGTTATTATTATTACTTACACTACAAGGACCTAAAACATCATCTATTTGCCATGACGCCACCACTACAAAAGACTATTGCTTGTAAGGGAACCAATTAATTAAACAATGATTCAATGGATCAATATTTCAATTAATGGATAATATTTATCTTTGCTTTTTTGGAATCTGAGGAACACTATAACACATATGTATATATATGTTTGACATATGAGGTAGTCCTAAAGTTACACATGAATTGTTTTCCTTCAATTTAAAGCACCTTCCTTTGGACCCTCCCATACAACTCACTTTTACCTATCTATTCAATTATTTACTATATAATCATATAGGACCTAACAACATCTCTTCTAATACTGTCTTAAACAGTTTTAAAAACCTTTTATTAGGATCTAAGCCAACTCCAAAAGACCCATGATGGAAAATGCTGTCCACATACAGATAAAGAACTATGGAGCCTGAATGTAGATTGAAGCATACTATTTACTCTCTTTTTTGTTGTTGTTTTGTTTCTTCTTTCTCGTGGTTCCTCCCATTGGTCTTAAATCTTCTTTCAACATGACTAATGTGAAAATATGTTTAATATGAATGTATATGTAGAGCCTATATCAGATTGCATATCATCTGGGAAAGGGGGGGAGGAGGAAGTAGGGGGAGAAAATTTAAAACTCAAAAGCTTATGGAAGTGAATGTTGAAAATTAAAAATAAATAAGTATAAAAAAAAACTGAACAAGCAAAAAAAAAAGAACAAGAAAAATATGTTAAAAATATCAATATAGGTGGAAAACACTGAGCATATAAAATAAGATGGTGGCCATAAAAGTGCAGAGAAGGGATTGAAGGGATTGATATATATATGGAAGGAGATAAAAATGGGAAAGGAATTGGTATCTGAGTTTTTTGACCAAAAGGATAGTCTTGGAAAGAGGGTGCCAGATAAGGCAGTTCTGAGGTATAGGAAATGGAAGGGGATTTACTACTGATCATGATAATTCTCTAAGGAAAATAAACAAACATTTTGTACTTTAAAAAATCTTTATTGTTATTTAATTTTTCACATGCTTTCGGGTTTTATCTGCCCTATTAGATTAAGTCTTGAAGGCAAGGCTCCTCTCAATACTTTTCTGTACACTACTGCCATCTTAAGATTTGCTTTTATTTATCCTGAAAGTTTATTTTTAAGTTGTCTTTTTATATCTTTGAGTTATTTCTCCATAGAAATGACGTTTTATGCAAGGGTAAGGTTCACTATATAAAGGCAGCTTCACTCAAAGATCTAAAAGTGCAATACACTTCTCTCACCACGGATAACAAGAAATCTCCCAGGCTCCTCCCACAGTTTTTACAACCATCCTTACTCCTGAATAATGCATATAAAATCCAAATTTGATATCATTGATTGTCAATGAATCAAATATTCCAGAATTACTATAAATACCTCACATTTCAGTCTTACTGTAGGTCAACTGTCCATTCAGACTCAACACTACTATCAAGCAGCTATTTTCTCACCTACCTGCCTGTGAAGTAGAAACAGGCCATTCAAGAAATACATACAAAGCAAGGGTAAGTATTATTAAAAGAGCTTATGATATTACTTCCCCAATTCCTTGTCTAATCATAATCTATATTATAAACCACTATCCTTTGTATTAGGAGAGAAAAATATCTGAGGTAAATCCATCATAGATGCATTTCCCGGTAAATCCGTGCAAAGCAGCCAAGTAGAAACAATGTTTTTTTGCTTAATGAAAACACTGGAGGTTAACCTATCCAAACAAGGAGGGTACAGCAGGGTGAGATAGAAGCCTTTAAGCAGAGTATTGCTGAAGAAAAGTTGTATGGAAATCTGGATTTGCTCATGACATATGCTTTCTCTCTTTAACAAATGTCCCCAAATAAACTAAGAAATAACCAGTCCCTGGGTGTTCTTAGCACAGTTCTATAACAAACCTTTGATTCTCACTTGGCAATTTGTGGAAAAAGTAAAAAACAAAACAAAACAAAAAAATCACAGTAGAGAATACGTGCTGGGAATATAATTACAGGTCTTCAACTTGTCTTTCTTTTTCAGCAACCCCAACCTTTCTAACGGGAAATAATTTGCAACAAAAAGCAACAGTGGCAAGATAATAGGGAAGAAAAAAAATTATGTTACACAGCATCCATTCCTAGCAAAGACTTCACAAGGAGTAAGAGAATGTATCTGGAAGCTCAAAGTATGCATAGAGTGTGGTGAGGTAATATTACAATTCTTTACTGTATTTCAAATGAAAACTGCTTATTTCCTATGGGTCAAATTATTTTAATGGAGACATCATAATACCTGTAAAATCGCCAGACCTGGTCTGAAACCTGGGACTTGCTCCCTCAATTTGGGTAACCTGGCTCTTCAATATTCCTCTTACTTGCAAAAAATAAATGGTTATCCCCTTAACTATTGACCAGAAATCACAACCTAGGAAATTAAGATGTATTTTTCTCTCTGAAATTAAAACTAAAATCGTTATAGGGAGATTAGTCTCCCTATACTCTCTTTGGAATTACAAGGCAATGAAAAATTCATACTGGAAATAGAAATGAAACACAAAGGCAAATACTCTATCTGGGACTAAATTTGGGCTACCAGCATTATTTCAGGGTTCAAGTTTCCTTGCACTGGCTGGTTAAGCAGAAAACCCTTCTTTTTTTTTAATTTTAATTTATTTATTTTTGCACTTAAGAGCATTTTGGTTTCTGCAATTATGTGTAAAGATAGTTTTCAACATTCAC